TATTAGATAGACGGGTGGGCCAAGGGTGAGGTGAATTATGTATTAGATAGACGGGTGGGCCCAGATACATATCATATAGACAGATAGGCCTAGGTATTGTACATTTTTACGAGTTTTGAGTCTCGAGTTAAGAAAATTCAAATTTAAGATGATATACATTTTTGTTGTCTTGAAATACCGAGACCCGAGACCCGAGATTCGGCACTCAGTAGTCGGTGAAATGAGTACAGAAATACATAAGATAATACACATTGTTCTCAGAAATCACAAGTTTCAAATGTCGATTTGTAAATCACGAGTCACAAGTCTCGAGACTCGAATCACCGAGTACCGAGTACTGAGAACCGAGTACTGACACCCGACACCCGGAATTTGGCACTCGGCATGCGAGACGAAAGATTGGAAACAAAACTCAAAATTTGAAACTCGAAAGTACTGACTACTGAATACCAAGTACCGAGTACTGAATCTCGGGTCTCGGTACTCGGGACTTGGTACTCGACACGATGCTTGAAACTCGTAAAACTGTTTCGAATCACCGAGTACCGAGTACCGAATCTCGGGTCTTGGTACTCGGTATTCGGTACTCGACACAATGCTCGAAACTCGTAAAACTGTTTCGAATCACCGAGTACTGACTACCAAGTGCCGAGACCCGACTACCGAGTGCCGAGACCTGAATCTCGGGTCTCGGCACTTGGTAGTCAGTACTCGGTGATTCGAAACAGTTTTACGAGTTTCGAGCATTGTGTCGAGTACCGAATACCGAGTACCAAGACCCGAGATTCGGTACTTGGTACTCGGTAGTCAGTACTCGGTGATTCGAAACAGTTTTACGAGTTTCAAGCATCGTGTCGAGTACCAAGTCCCGAGTACCGAATCTCGGGTCTCGGCACTCGGTAGTCAGCACTCGGTGATTCGAAACAGTTTTACGAGTTTTGAGCATCGTGTCGAGTACCGAATACCGAGTACCGAGACCCGAGATTCGGTACTCGGTACTTGGTAGTCAGTACTCGGTGATTCGAAACAGTTTTACAAGTTTCGAGCATTGTGTCGAGTACCGAATACCGAGTACCGAGACCCGAGATTCGAGTGCTTTCGAGTTTCAAGTTTCAAGTTTCAAATCTGTCGTCTCAAGTCCCGAGTGCCGAATTCCGGGACTCGGGACTCGGAACTCAGTGACTCAATCAATGGACTGGCAGAGGTTACATTCATTGAAAACTTGTATATACATCTATCACTATGCAATTATGTAGCCATGTCAACCTCCACAGAAGACTCTTCAACCTTCACCTCCACCTCAACATCCATGTTGCTGGAAGAGTCATATTCTGGGACAAGGTTGCTTGGATCACCTGGGTCCACAATTTTGCCGGATGCATCTGGATCCTCTGGATGAACAACTTGGTTGTAGTCGAACAGGAGACCCTCGATGGCAGAGGCATCCGGGAATGTCGGGGCTGCGGGTGTGGGAGCCATTGTTTCCATACTGAGATCAATCAGAGGAGGGAGTGCGGATTCTGGGGGTGACATGGTGCGGGGGCCGGATTGATCAAGCAACAAGGATGTTGCAGGGGCAGGAGTGTCGGGAAGTGGGAATGAGGGGTGCCGGTCGATGATTTCGCGCCTAAGGCCTTCATGAAGGCGTTGCAGGGTCTCAATCTTACCATCCTGCTCTGCCACACAAGCCTCCAGAAGAGCAATTCGAGCTGCGCCATCTCGAATCGCAATGGACATGGCATGGAGATCTGGCATGGGCACCCCAAGTGCTGCAGCAGGGACTGCCGACCTGGAAGACGGAAGGGCTACAAGGGAAAATGAAGGTCAGACGGTGATGAAAAACTCAGGTGACTTACGAGCTGGTGCAGATGCAGGTGCAGGTGCAGGTGCAGGTGCAGGTGCAGGTGCCTTGACGGCAGTGATAGTCTTGCTGCGACCACGCATCTGGGTCTTGGGAGTGGTCACAGCAGTGACACCAGAAGTTCCGGCCCGGCCACGAGACTGACTGCGAGTTCGGGCCCTGGACTGGGAGGCAGGGGAAGCTTTGGAGGGGGTGGGAGTTTTGGATGCGGGGGGAGCCTTGGAGGGAGTCTTGGAGGAAGCCCTGGATGGTGTTCTGGACCTCGTCTTCCGGGTAGTAGAGGAAGAACGATCGCGAGGAGGCGGGGATCCCATAGTCACGGGGGTGCACTTGATCTTCTTTGTTGTGCAGTAGACGCACGACATACATGGAGCCCCGGTCCTCTTGTCTGGCCGAGTTGCGCAAGGCCAGTTGTGCTTGTGGCAAGCATAGCATGGGTTGTTCTGTTGGTTGTATTTGTGTATGGACACATGAGATATTTCAAAGTACTCACTGGTCCGGGAATGAGAATGTCAACTGCAGGGATGACTGGGGGTGCCTGCACCAGAGGTTCGGGAGTGGGCTGGGAGGGCTCCACAACTGCTGTGTGACTGCCAGCAATCACCTGGTATAATGTAAGCACACACCCGAGTCCCGGACGCATAAATGACACTTACTGTGGCAGGGCCAAAGGGCTTCTTCTTGGGTACCCGGGGCGAGCGAGGTGAATCAGGCGTCCTTGCGACAATTGTGGAGAGCCGGGGAAGGACGACCTCCGGCACTCCACCCAAAGGTGGCTACACGAAAATGAGAGACAATGAAAAAATGAACAAGATGACATACCTGCATAACCGAGTCTTCATCATCTTCCGACTCCACGATGGCCTTGGACTTCACAACGCGAGCAGACCTCTGACGCTTGTGACTCTTCATCGCGGATTTCGGGGGTTGGGAGGAGGGTCCAGAAATCAAGGGGGACTTCCTCTTCTTACTCCCTTCTGCCTCGGGGTCTGGGTCAGCGAAGACGGCCTTACCTTTCCCCTTGTCCCGGGACTCGGTGGTGGGGTTGGTGGAAGGGCCGGCGACATTGCCGGCAGGGATGGCTGGGGAGGGAAGGTTGACAGGAATCGGACCTGTGGATGGGGGGGCAGCAGTTGGGAGATCGAAGGTCTGGTCGCCTAAGGCGTTCCAGGCGAGGACCTTGGGGTACCAGGCGTGCCTCAGAATGCGAGGATCGTCATACCCGATGGAGTGCCAGTCTGGCCAGACCTTGGGAACCATGTTGCGGATGCGCTGGAGCTCTTTGGAGCACGAAATGATGAGGCCGGGAATAGGACCATCCCCGGACCCATACTCCTTGGCTACATCAGACTACCAAGATGTTAGAGAAGAAAAAGCACCCAAACAAAATACATACCACAAGTGTAGCAACCTGTTTTCCCAAAGCCGAGTGGCTGGGACCCGGGGGAATCTGCCGGGCGGCACTGATGATGGCCATGATCTGGGCAGCGGATGCCTTGAGATGGGTCAAAGAGTTGTCAACTGGAGTGGACATGATGAGTGGGTTGAGAGATTTAAAGATCTTGAAATCAGATTGAAATCAGTTATCAGAAAGATGAAGTTTCAAACAAACAAGACATTTGATGGGCGATCCACAAAATCGTTTATTGTTTGTGTTTGTTTGGTCGTTGTTCAACTTTCGGCAATTGCCAACTTTGTGTTGAACTTCGAAGTTTTTTAGATCATCAGTCAATCAGTCCACCAATTCTCCACACATGAGTGCCCATCCAGCCGTTAGATTTAATGACCCACCGGTGACCGACTATAATTCTATGGATGTGGATGACTCATCTATGGGCCGGGCATCACTAGGTATGTTGTATTCTTATCATGCCTTATCTATTCACCGGGTATCCCTTAGATGACTTAGATGACTTATACCTCGGGCCGGATGATGACATAGAATATGATTCTATGTCATCCGGACCCCCAGATGCGTCGGCTGCAATACCCGGTATGACTATACATTACTGATGACCTGGGATCACCATGCATGCTAACTTCACCCTTGAAGATCAATCACATCCGGGTCAAGCTGATGATGCCAGCTGTCTCATTGATCCAGACTTGTACCTCGGGCCTGAGGATGATGTCATTGATGTTGATGAGTTGCTGGACTCTGCTGATCCTCCCACTTTTGCTCCGGCTACCTCAGAGGTGTCTATTTCATGTGGGTCCATTCATTCTGGACCATTATGGAGACTGATCTTATCTCCCAAGCCGACAAATCATCTACCGAACTCCCTGCAGACCAGCCGAAGCTCAATATCGAGGATGTACGGTTGATGGTCCAGGAGCTCCATCCTTTTGGAAAATACCAACACCCAGAATGTGAGTATCTGAAAGCAGAGCAGTTATCTTTGAGCTAATCTTTCTGGAAGACCAATCCGTCCAAGATCGACTCCATGATTACAAACGCCGTACTGGAGGTCTTCCTGACCCTTCCATCCAACAACTAATCGAGGCCGAGCGTCCATTCCGAACTGCTTGGGCAGAAACATCCGACAAACTGAAAAAAGCTGATGCAGACCTGCAGAGGTTGCAAAGAGTTGAACAGATGAGCATTGAAATGCTCAAGGTAGTAGATTCCATGATTGAACACTTTGAAGAACAACTGACCATGTAAATTACTGCATTGCAACCTGTGAATTTTTCATTGACATCCCACATCATGTACACTACCAAATTTTTCAATACATGTCCCCGGGTGTTGAACGGGACTCGATACATGATGGTCGGGATTCGATAATTGGGACTCAACACTCGGGACTCGATAGTCGGGACTTGATGTTTGATATTCGGGAGTCAATAATCGGGACTCAACACTCGGCACTCGATTTTCGGGACTCGATGTTCGATGCTCGGGACTCGACGCTCAATAGTCGGGACTCGGTGTTTGACGAATCTCGGGTTCGGGACTCGAGGTTCGATAGTCGGGATTCAATGTTTGTGACTCAATAGTCGGGACTCAATAGTCAGGACTCAATAATCGATATTCACTAGTGGGGACTCTGCATATCATATTAGGTCTGATATATGAAAGTTACACATTGACATGTAAATACAAGCAGGTAATGGCAGGCAGTGTAGTATCAGCCCATTACTTCTTTCCCCTTGCTCTCGTCACTCGAGTGCTTGTGTCCAATGGCTGCTGTGTTGACTTACTCCGGGTTGTCCTCGCCGATGGCTCAATCACCGCTTTCCTTCCCCGCATGTTCTTCGGCGCCGGCGACCTATTGACTCGTTCTGTTGCACCATCCTCCTGAACATTGCGAGTGACTCTCGCAGTCAGCCCAGTCAGGAGGTCGCCCATTCGCGATGTCAGCAGTGCACCAGTCTTCCCTGCATTGACCAAGCGAGGCTTTGGAATTGCATGTGGGACCGCTGTCCCTTCATGTGCTGTCGAAGGACCAGGCTCTGTTCTGGGTCTCTTTTGCGGGGATCTACCTTCCTCTGTGTCATCATCAGCATCATCCTCCATGTGATGAGTGTCGTCCTCAGGATTGCTCTCTGGATTACTCTCGTGATTGGCCTCGGGATCACTGTCAGTTTCGGTCGATGAATTCCGAGGCCTTCGGATCATAACTCGTCTGGCATTACGAGTCCAATGAGAAGGTGAATTTCCGGATACAACCGAGGCTACCATGTCCCCATCTCTGTTCCTCCATGCTTTGAACAGGAATGTTGGACCTTCGCCTTTCTCCTGCCGAGCATACCAGAAATTCAGTAAGGCGGTCGTGTCCCAATGTTGCAACTTCGAAGGCTCCTTCAAGTCCACATCCGCCGGAAGATACGTTCTTGCCACAAAGTCATCCTGACTTTGTATGATGGCGCTCCATGGCACAACTGCCTTGACAATCCCAGAACAGATACCTGTATAAATGCATTCAACAAATGTTCAGGTGTTGCGACGACGGACTCACGATAGTGCGATGTGAGAAATGCTCTGACGATGGCTTTCTTCTCCTCAAGTTTCAGTCTCGGTGATGTCAGGAAGCACCGGCATCCCATCCCCATCAATTTCGAGTTCGAAAGCAGGCTTCCTGATTCTCTTTCGACCTCCATTCACCTGTCGCCCACCATCTCGTGCCCCAGCACCTATCATGACAAAGATCAACCAATTCATTCCAGTAGCCAGAGATCAAACACTCACCGAAATTGTTCCTGCGTGTACTCCTGCCAAACTGGCTCGATGTCCCTCCCAGTCCTTCGTCTTCATGAAACTTTCCCCATCTCCTAATGCCTCGTTATCATCGTGCCTGCATGAAATGTATTGAGATCGAAGATCTGCGATGATCTGCGATGACAAAATTGACTTACATCCCAAACAGCACCTCTCCCTGTTCATTCTTCCATGCCGACATCACAAACACTCTCATCCCGCATTGCCTCCACATCTCCTTCGAAAAGTGCTCCATATACACCGGTCCCTTCTTACAAGCCACTTGTGCTTGTATCTCGGGAGGAGGAAAGTTGCTGGACCATTCTTCAGCCGTGTCTTTCGCCTTCTCCAACTCATCATCGGACAATTCAGCCATGACTCTTTTTACAGCCGCCTGATAATGCTTGAACATACCGGGACCCTCCTGGCTTTGCCCCAGACTCGTCCTCAATCCTCTTCAGCACCTCCTCCCGTTTCTGCTGGTAGATCACCTGCCTAGGAGTCCATTTCCTCCCATACTTTATCATGTCCTTCCTCTCCTTCTTTTTCTGGTTGTTGAACAACCATGTCTTGTACATCTGAGAGTTCATGGAAGAATAAGATTGTTAAAATTTTAGTTTTGAATGAAGCAAGGATGAATCACCTGCTTCCTCTTCTTCCATTGTGCTTGGTCGACCTTGGGAGCAAATAGCCTGGCAGCCCTAGCTATGGCAGTGAAAACTGCCCTCTTCTCAATCCTTTTCGCCGAAGTCCACTCAGGAAGGTAGTTCTTCAACTCCGAAATTTCGTTATCCGTGAGCTTCTGTGTCTGTGGTTGACGCGCCCTATGTCTTCCAGAAGTGGAAGTCAACTGAGTGGAATGACCTGATCTTGCCATTGTGAATGAGATTGCAGAAAGGGCTGAGGATGAGCAAGGTGGAAGTAATAACGGTGACAAGTTCAACTTTGAGCAAAGCCTAACAGTTGGTTAATCGACCCATATTGGACGCAATTCCATTATTGGAAATGAATTTGTAATGACGCATCAAGACCGCATAAGATCACATTGCAATAACAATTTATTCGCATTCCTGAGCTCGTGCTTTGCTTGCAGCCTTGGAAAATAACATGAAGATAGGTAGATGCACCCCACTGCAAAGATCCCACAGGGTAGAAGCAAGGGGAAGCAGAGGTAGGAAAATTTGGGTCAAGGTCCCACTTGCAAGCACAAAAGACGTGCATACAGGTCCATGCCTAGCTCTCCCCTAGAATCACCCAACACTTCGGCCTGTTGAGGCACCACCTCTTTGGGAAGACATTCCTGACAATACTTACGAGCAAGACCAAGGCTCATTTGAGCCTTTGCAACTCCCAAAAACCATGGCAAGTTCATGTAAAATGTTGCATTGCAATTCAAATGATAGCTAAGTATAACAAATCCAGAGTCAGAATGACTACCTCAGGCAATGGCTGCCAAGGCAGAAATCATATCTGCATCACCTCCTGGATCGAGAAGCTCCACCAGAAGATAGGAGATGCGTCGTCTGCGACCAGGATGGGGTCTACAAATGTCAAGATTGTCTTGGGGAGCCACTCTATTGCACTGGCTGTTGCAGAAGTCAACATCTTTGCAATCCCTTCCATTGGATCAGTCAATGGAATGGTCAATTCTTTGAGCAAAGTTGTCTCGCTCATGTCGGACTCGTCATACACCTCGGTCATGAGGGCAAATGATGTCCGGTACTTACGGATAGGTGGGACTTGTTCGAAGAAGACGAACTGGAAGACCAGCTTGAGCCTGAAGATCTACCATCTGTGTCGGGACCCGAGTTCCAGCCGAAGGAAAACACCATGGTCATCATTGACAAGTCCGGAGTTCATCGCCTCCGGGTTCGATGCTGCAATTGTCCAAATGCCATGAGTCCAGACCTTCAAATGTTTCAACGTGGATTTTTCCCCACTTCATTTAACAAGCCAAAGACTTTATTCACCTTCAGGGTTCTCGATGATTTTCTATTGGACAACCTTGAATGTGGGACCTCGGCGATGAACTATTACAGCAAGCTCCGGCGAATGACCTTGAGGATGTTTCCACACCTTGTACCGGTAATGCCATATCTCTCTCATCTAAAGGACATTATATTGACAAGGCATGGGGCAAGGGACCGATACCGAGAGCTCATGAGAGTCGCCCAACAGTGGAGGCAGTTGAAGACGATGAAATGGCATGGCTTCGGCCATTGTTCCGACAGCCCAAATGCAGGAGATCTCCGCATTATTTTGCCCGGCATGTCCTCAGCCTGGGATTAATGTGTCCTTCTCAGGGGATGAATCACTTGATGAGTGAGTCTTCCTCAATACTGAAGTCACCTCAGCGATAATAACAACTCCAAGGTGGAAATACACACCCGGTCATTTGTTATGGACGGAAATTTCAAAGCTGAACACCTGCATCCCATGAAGCCATTTGATGAAGTTTGGCTATCAGATGGGTTGGGATTCATGGTGGGAAAGGACAGGTATAAAATGCATCTTGCAGAGGCTGCCGACACTTTAGAAAAATCAAGCTGCAACAATCACCGGGCAGTAAATCAAGCAAATGCGGCTCGGCACAAGCTGGAATCCACGGGCATTGGGGGAGTAGCCTGTGCTCGACACGGTTGCTTTGTTCCTCACTCGATGGTAGATTTTCAGAAAGGCGAAAGGCAAGCCGACCCAGCCATTCGATATTCACGAGTTAACCATGCATCATTTGCAGACAAATGAACATGGACTATGCCCTTTGTGAGGCTGCCCGGCACAACATGGAAGGCATCACCAGGGCGGTCACCTTCTATGATATCAACTGTCAATACAACAAGCACTTTCGGGTTCGGGTGGATCGAAGCCGATTTCTTGAAATGGTTCCGGAATTGACCATCATTCCCAGAATCGGGTTGTGGCACATCCACAGACATCAGGACAGCTGCTATGTCCGATATGCGTCAAATTTTATGGAAGGCATCGGTCGGATTGATGGAGAGATCATGGAGACCCTATGGTCACATCTCAACCTGATTTCCCCTGCTGCTCGGGGAATGTCATCCCCGCATCGAAAGGAATGTCTCGATTATCAGATGAATGATTCCAATTTCTGCAAGATGATCCGCATGAAAAGGACCCTTTGCCGAAAATACAAGCAGGCAAAGAATGGCATTGCCGAAAGTGAAAAGGCTTTCGACATACTCAATGAAGCAGCACCCGGCGATTCAAAGACAGAGTGGCTAGCCAGCGAGAGGATCGCGCATCCAGCAGAACAAACAATCCTGCGGCTATGGATGTATATGAGATTAATATCAAGGGTTAGTTGACTTTGTCTCCATCAAAGTCTGAATTAATTTTGCATTCAGCACCGAGCAAAAAGGAGATTGAGCTTAGGCTACTAGAGGAGGGTAATGCCCGAAATGCAGCACCTGCTTGCAGGTCTGTGGCGACATGGATATCAATGGGGTTGGCGATTGAAGAGGCTCAAATCGCATTGCTCATCGAGGTCCGAAGAATTGGTAGAAGAACTACCAAGACACAGAAGTTAGACATCGCCCGGTGTCTTAATAACCGAGGGTCTTATATAAATACGTGTAAGAATGTAATGACACCACAATTACACTGGATAAGACTTCTTGCCAGTCCTCGATTAACACGGTCTACGACTTTTCTTCTTTCGTGGTAGATAACGTGTGAGTTCTTGGGAGGCTCGCTAAACCAATCAGTCAGATTAACTTAGCCGGAGCTTTATTATCTCTGATTGAAACTATGGGATTGTCTAGGATATACCGTCTAGACACTTGAACTGGTTTCCTGAATATACGGTTAACTGTTGAGAAGCTGGTCTCAAATGTGACTACGTGGACCAAAGCTCGTGTTGGTCAATATACAAATACCTGGTGAGAACGCTGGTCTCACAAATAACAACAAATGACAAATATAAAACAATGACAAATAACAACAATGACCAAAGCTCGTGTTGGTCAGTATACAAATACCTGGTGAGAATGCTGGTCTCACAAATAACAACGGTGACCAAAGCTCGTGTTGGTCAGTAAACACTACGTGGTGAGAACACTGGTCTCACAAAACTGGGTTTCTATCGCGAGAAACTTACATAATCTCAAGGGGAAACACTTTCCTTGCACTTGCCTGGACAGTTCTTACAAAGGAAATGGGCTTTGTAAGCAGCAATTTGTTCAGACTGAAGCTTCTTAGGTGAGAGTTCAATTTGCTCAAGAGGGAGGTTCTTGAATGCAACAAGTGGGAGATCTATTTTTTTGGGGGAGAATGGGCTCTCCTTATATACATTTTGTGTGGGAATATTATGTAAGTAAAAAGGTGATGTAATGACTTCAGAATGTGGGAAGAATATTCCAAAAACTGGAGCAGAATGTTCTAGCAGGTGCAAAAGAACATTCCAGAATATTCATGGTGGGATAATGACATCATTCTGAGTCACTATGAGTCACTATGAGTCATTATGAGTCATTGGAATGTTCTAGCAAATTCCATGGAACATGACATCATTATGACATCACTATGATATCATATCTTTCAAACCAAAATACCTGCAGGGAGTGTAGGCGAAGTCCTATGACATCATTATGACATCATACCCTGTAGGTACAATTTATGAAGCATCTGATTAGTCAGAGCATCCTAATAGAAAATCAAAGTAAAGAAACACTAGAGAAAACAACTCAGAAATAATGGAACAAATAATAGTACACAATACGCGGGCTTTTTAGATAGGTTTTTGTTAGGCTTTGAACTTTTCTCTATGGGTTTCTCTAGCCAAAGTGAATAAGCCAAATGAAAGGCAATACATTAACCTTCATTTTGCTTCCTCATATCAACTAGGTCATTATGTGATTCCCATCTCACATATGACTTTTCTTCAAAACATGGTGGATTCATGAATCGCTGAGGGAAAACTGAAACTATTGGACCAAGGTTTGATACCAAGGTATGGGTTGACTAGTCTGAGGACTAAGCTAACAGACTTTGTCTTTAGGGGGGATACCTAGTAGTCATGTCCATGCATGATTCCCCAATCATGCAGGACACCCGGCAACGCGATCGTCTCCAAGGCCAGATAGATGGATTCACTCGGTCTGTTATTACGCATCTTGGAGAGGGATTTGATGCAGATGAAGATCCTGAAGACTTGTACTTGGACATTCTTGATGATCTCGATGATGACTTGGCAGACTTCACCGAGACCCTCTGACACATGGGCAAACTCCCCTGAGCTCACTGTAATCCCATTGCCACCAAACCTCGGGGTAGAATCGATGCAGACGCTGTATGGCAGACGATCTCATTCCGCTGGAGATGTCTCTTCGTGAAGGGCAGGCCAATGACTCCTTCACAACCTCGAATTCACTTGTGCAACAAGGCGATTCTGTTTCGAACAACAGTTAGGCAAGCCAAATCCCAGGCCCTGAAAACTCGAGCTTGGTCCCAGGTGACGTCGGTGCAGCAGGCAGTGTCCCTCCATGCCAGTATATAAGACGAGGAAGCAAATGATGCAACTGGAGCCAGGGCAAGACCAGGTTCAGAAATACAAACCCCTGCTTCGAGAGCAACTCAAAATCAGCACTGCCGTCGGCGATCCAAATGCCCGAGGTCAGCGAAACGAGTCCCTCGCTTGGTTCTGGTCAGTCGAAGTCGACCTTGGGGGTCCCGATCACTCGTGGAATGAGGAATGTGAGTTCGGGCATGCTTGATGTGTCCCGCTCAGCTGACGGAGTCATCCGAAGTTTACCGAGTTCATTGGCTCCGGGCAAAGGCACTACGGGATCGATGGAAGGAAGAAATGATGTTGGTCCAATTGGAGATGGATTGGACATGTAACTTTTTCTTGTGGAAAGCAACCCAATGGGGTGACAGGATGCGCGAATCATTGGTGAAACACCTTCCGGGTCATGCATGCTACTCGGGAAGGCAATCCCAAATGTATTCATTGCTGGCACAGGATGCCCAGGCAGCATTTCAAGACCTGAAGACCGGGTTTATAGATGCTCGAGATGAATGAAATTTTTTTGCCAACGATATGAAACAGCTACTTTGACCCAAACATTTTAGTCCCGGGAATTGGCCGGGTCGACCCATGTCGGAGTTTGAAAATTTTTATCAATCAACCAGTGGCTCATATCTTGACCTCCGAACCAACTGCCATTGTCATTGTCATTTCCAGCTTCATAATCCTGCATTAACCATGTCTGTATTGCATACTCCCCCAACATCCCCTTCTAATTCTCAGACTTCCGGCAATGGGTTCCGACCCCTCACACTCACTCAGGCAGATATTGCAGCTACAATGTCAATGGCTGCATCTCGCATCCGAGCGTCCATCTCTCAATATCAGATGGAGGCTGCCACACCCAGGAGCCATCTGCTACTCGGATCACGCACTTTAAAGCCGGGCTGCAATGGGAGATAGCTGTAAGAGGCTGATGACTGTGGTGGTCAATGCTGACATTTCCAACAGACTTTTGTGACTCCCATCCTGCAGTACTCAGCTGCAAGGAACATCATTTCGGTTGTTCCGAGCCCGGTTGCTCATATTCTTCAGTTGATTCCCGAGCTCACCTGGAACATGGTTCCGGACCACATCTTTTCATCCCACCTATGCCAGTTTCAAGACGTTGCAGATCTGGGGGATCCTCCCGCATTGTATCCACCTATGGTACTCCATGGTGGACCGGATCAACTGCCATCCCGAACGAATTATGGCCATGGGATCAGGTATTCGCTAATTGTGTCTGTCACTACCAGCATTGGCTAGTAAGACTTTTACAGAATTTCCTTGAGTGATGACTAATCCTTTCTAGTCTGGCGTTGAGGACGAACGTCTTGTTGTTCCCGAGCAGGTGGATGAAAGCTCGCTTGCAACGCTGAAGGCACTGAGGTGGATGAGGGAACCTCCTGACGTGATTGAGGATCAACAAGCTGGCATCCATGAAAGATGGCAGAGATTCAGATG